GTGCATAGTATCTCGATAATGATAATAAAAAAAAGTGTTTTAGTAAAAATTATCTATTAAATCTCCGATATCTTTCTTAAAATTAATGTTTTAGGTGCATCATATAAGAAAAAAGATTTTAAAAAAATAAAATGTATTATGTACTTGTTTCGCTTATTTCTAAGCATTATTCGTTTAGATGAATTATTACGCTTATGATTAAATTAGTTTAAAACAAAACAAAGAAATAATTAAACCAAATTTAAACAAAAACAAAAATGAAATAGAAAAAATTTTGATTTTTTTTTTTTTGGTACTTTTATCTGGAATCATCTCCCAGAATTTGGCCATTAAGAGCTAAGTCATCCTGTATATATATATTCCCATATAAGTGTATATGTTTTAATCATGTACGGGCTATGTTGTGTGCATAGTATCTCGATAATGATAATAAAAAAAAAGTATTTTAGTAAAAATTATCTATTACATCTGCGATTTTTTTCTTAAAATTAATGTTTAAGGGCACATCATACTAGAAAAAAGATTACAAAAAAAAATGTATTTTGTATTTGTTTTGCTTATTTCTAAGTGTTATCTGTTTAGATGAACCATTACGCTTATGATTAAATTAGTTTAAAACAAAATAAAGAAACAATTAAACCAGATTTCAACCAAAATAAAATAATAATAATAAAATGGAACAAATTTTGAATTTTTTAAAAATTTTATTATTTTTTTGTGAGATCTTCTGCAGCGCTTCTTTTCCTTTCACAAGCCTGATTCAGAATTCTCTATGCTGTTCATAAATATGTCTGGGTTGATGGTGTTGTTTTACTTTACTTATGCTTAAGTTTATTCAATTTTTATTTGCTGTAAATATTACGTTTTTTTATTTTCTATATTAATATTTTGCTTTTATTTTATTTTATTTATTCATATTTTATAATATAAATACTGTACGAATGAATTATTATCTCATTATAATTATTATTTTAATCGTGACAGAATGTTGCATTACTTAATAGTTTCAACAAAGTTAAAAAAAAAAACTTTGTTGTACTCATGGGTCTCTTGATATGCATAGAGCCGTACTACTGATAGAGCCGTATTGATCATGGAAAATTACAATTATATTGGCCATGCTTAATTACACTAGTTTACTGAACTAGTAGCGGTAGATAAGTGAAAATAATTTTCATGATAGCCAAATTTTTCATGAAGAAATTGTTATTTTAGTTAATAATAGAAATAACTTTAGGAATAAGGAAGTAATTGTCGAAAAATAGTGATTAAACTAAAAGTTTCCACCCTTCAGGATAATAACAGGTAAATAAATATATATAAAATATTTTCTTCCGCTTGTATTGGATATTACTTGCTGCGCGTTATTGTATCTTCGAAACATCTCCAGCCCGAGGGACCACTATTCCATATTGCACAAATATAACTTTAACCTCATATTGGACAATCTTTCAAATAGTATTAAATATTAAAACCTTACTGGTCCGGGTCAATAGAATAGATTCTACCTTTTTCTTGCTTTTTTACAGTTACATCGCTTTTCTTCAGTAAACCTTGTCTTTATATTTAGAGGATATCTTTAAATGTCTTGGAATGATGTACTATCTCGAGTTGATGTATATATATATATATACACTTTTTTTTCTGGTTTTTAATGTTAGATGTACTGCATATATTTTATCTTAATTTTTCTAATCTGGTAATGCCAGAATTGATACAATTTTGGATAGTTATTAGATTACCGGTATTTTAGATACATAAGGATTTGTGTTTGGAATCATCTAATTATATCTTAACTGATATTTTAAATCTTAAAATGACGAAATATCAGGATTTTGCTTGGTCTAGACTCTAAACAGGAGGATGATTATCGATCCACAACCCGTTAATCTAGGTTTTAAATCTTCGATAATCTGTCATTTAGTAGCAATCGATAATATTCAGACTTTCCTTATAGGACAGAAGTGTTAAGTGGGATTTCATAAACTTTCATAAATTTATACTCATAAGAAACTGTATTAATCGCTTACAGTGTTTTCATTTACAATTTAACAGACGATTCCTTAAATTTGTTTATTCCAAAAACTTATTTAAATAACGATCATCAGGCATTGAGCATATGGAGTTGGGTTTCAGGACTAGACTAAACAATGAAATTCTTCCTTCATGAAATTATTACAAACTAAAATCCTGCGTAAAATAATTAATAAAAATGATGAAACAAGTACAATAATTACTCAGATCATTAAAGTACATTTAATCTCTCATCGTTTCGTCGTAAAATCTCAGTTTAAACCGTGGTCCATTATTGTATTTTTCACTGGTATTTATCAGATTTCAAAATTAATCTTGGAGGGAATTTCGGAAAAAATAAAAATGTCATTATATAATTAGACATGTACATACATATATTAAAAAAAAAAATTGAATTGAATAGTTCAAAATATTTACAAAAAAATGTAAGTATTGTACATAATTATAAGTATTGTACATATTGTAGATTAGAATTTATTATTTTTTTTTATAGAATTTATCGGTATTTTTTAAAATTTTATAAATTGATGAAACACATATATAGAAATGACCAACTTTTTTGTTATGTATTTATTTATTTATTGAAAAAGTTTTATTGTATTAAATTGTACACTTTTGTTTTTGTTATTGTCATTTAGTTTGTATTGAATAGTTTTAATCATCTTAATAAATGTAGCATTTTAGAGAGATAAAGAGGGAGAAGACACAGGGCTATTAAATGGGGGAAAAAAGTGCTTGAACAAGGAAAAAAAAATATATATATATTTATATACTCATATTTATATCCGACTTCTATATATTTATGTATAAGCTTTATTGATTGTCCTAAAGATTAATCAGTATACTGTGTGTCCAAGAACCCAATATATAATTATAATTAGATATAATTGGGCACCAAGCTTTTATATTTTATATGAAAATAAACCGTTTCTCTCTATACCACTATATTTTTTTGTATATTCTATTATATTCATTTCTGGCAAAATATTTGTTATAATGTATATTTTATTAAACAAACCTTTTAAATTTAACATGTTGGTTGGATTAAATATGTATACATTAATAATTACAAAGCGATTAATATATAATGTAATATAATTTAATTTAATTGCAGTAATTATATGATTGTTGCTTAAACATTGGCGGTAACGCCAATTTTCATTAGCCTCTTCCCGAAATAGAAGATGTTTTCCTCATATCGCTGTCAGCTCTTGACAGAGGTAAAAATAATCTCATCAAATGACGTAAATCGGTTCTAAATATTTCTCAATGTAAGATTTGACAAATACCTCAACAGATTAATAAAAATAGATTAGACAAATGCTTGCTTCATTTTAATATGTTTTTACTAATTTTACATCAAAATTAAAAAAAATAAAAATAAATGGTCATCAACTTCAAAGTAACTTGCAATGTACAAAGGATTAACGCAAGTCCCAACTCATATCCGTACTGAGGTTATCAAAGCCGCTAGGCCTTCGCTTGGAGTGGTGTCGAAAAAGAGGAAGGGTATTGGATGGCCGAATGTCCGAGTTCGTGGAAGATCTGTTTGATGTCCGAGTCCTTTTGTAGCAAGTAATTTGTCACATAGAATGGTGGGGCTAAAGTTTTTCGTGTTTTTCACTGGAATGACTAAATTATCAGAATATTTGAGGTATCTACAAAGCCACATAATTCTACAATATCTCGCAAGTTTCAAAATGTTTTATTAGTACTTTGTAGTTTTTCAAGTAATTTATATAATAGCGGAAATGGGATAAAAGTTTTATTTTCAGTATGATGTCCAATGAAGACCAAAATATCACAAACTTCTCAAGGTATTGATAAATTATTAAAATATTTCTGAAGTTTTCCTAACGCAAATTAAAATATAATTAATTGAAGAGAAATTGTTTGGGGGTGTTCAGTCAAAAATAAACAAATTAAAAATAAATAAATGATATTTATTTTTAGATATGCCAAAGTTTCGGTACAAAGTTCAGGCCTTCATCAGGGCTCCTCTTCAATTATTCACTATAGCCAACCATCATACCATTATTATTAAATATAATTAGCCTTTAAAATTTGACAATAATAAAATTAAAGTAAACTATATAATATTTTACTCAGGTTAGAACAGCGCAGTCGCACGAAGATGATATATGTACGGTTTTTGCAAATAATTATAGCTTGTTAAATAATTTTTGATATGTTCTGAAAAATAATAGTTGTACTGGAAACGTACAATACTACTAGGAATTGCCTGACTTTTCTGTCCGTGACTCAAACGATTGATGAAGCAGTGTTGAGACAATCGAAATTATGATTTTATGCTGATAGGGTAATTAAATAGCAAATAGCCAGAAAGTTAATTAACTCAGAAAACATGTGGTAAACCGTAGATGGGAGGATCGTCCAACAACATTTTAATGAGTTTATGGTTGGAAACAGGAGTTATAGGCAGCCTATTCGCAAGTTATTTAAGATTTATTGTTAATATTTAAATTTAAATTAGATCCTCAAACATTAAACCTCATGAAACGAAACTTTTTTTGAAGACCACAGGTTTACATTGCTTGTTTAAAAACAAAGATAAAAAAAAGTAAATAAATAACCTATTATTATAATATTATATCATAAACATACCATGGGATGGAAGTAAAAAAGGCTAATACATCCCGGAACTTCTAAAGTTAAGAACTTAATTAAGATAATCTTCCGGAAGGCTTAGCTTGCTTTCTTATCTCTTTGAGAAGTTGAACTCCTACCATGGATTAAATCGACTTAATTTATTTATTTTTCAGTAAATAAAGATAAAAAATGATTTTTAGAAATCAACAAAGTTTTCTGTTGATGAAAAACCATAATAATCAGCAAAAATAACATACAAAAAATAATTACTAAAAAATAGGAACATGAACAAGTAAAATGCTCATAACTATACGTATTTTTATTGCTAAAATTAAAATTTAATCTAATTTAGTTACCTGAAGAAATGCCCGTTGGTGAAGATGAAAAATGCAACTTCAGACCTTTCAAGTTGCATGTTTGTAACGACTTTTCCAAGTTCGGTTGCTATCGTTACCTGAAAAAAATAATCATAAATGACCTAAATAATGAAAAAGTATAAATGCTCATATAAAAACAAATTAATACAAAAGCTTGTCCACGAGACAGATTATTATATGTCTAAATAAATTTTAAAAAAATACTAAAGCTATATGAAGATAAACCATATAAAAAATCTCCAATAATAATCAAATCTCCAATACACGTATATAAAATGCGTGACGCTACGAACTATATTTAAAAGTGAACCTATCAATCAAAAAATGGCAGCTTCGATAGTTTGGTCATGCAATGGGGATGGATGAAAGCCGTCTAGCGAAGAAAACCATGGAGGTTAAACCAATCGGAAAACGATCAAGAAGAAGGCCGAGAATTACTTGGGAGGATAACAGAAAGATAGAAAAACTACATCTATAGACAACAATCCAGTTCTTTCAAAAAAATATTTTTTTTATTTCACGGCCATTTTACTAGAAATTTGCAAGAAAATTTCATTTGAAGCCCTGATGATATAAACAATCCTCACAACTCTTGGACTACAGATCTCCACTCAATTATCTCAAAACCACAAAAAAAAAGCGACTAATCTATACCAATCTATCTACACCACTATACTAAGACCTATTTGGACATAGGTAGCAGAACTTTGAGATTTAGCAAAGCATGTCCACATAAACAATATTTAAACCGCACAATTCAAAATACTTGAAAAAATCAATAATGCATCTTGGTTTATTTTTAGTCACACCATACACGACATGAACATACCAACAATCCTACATTTGTGATAAATACACCACATTTCACTCTTAAACTCTTAAACATCCAGACCCACTCGTCTTGTCTCTTTCTTTCTCTCCGTTACTCGGTCAGCCTGAACGAAGACAGTTTGCAGTTGTATTGTAAAAAAATAAATAATAATATTAATTTAAGTAATATCTATTTCTCGAAACAAATGGATTTATTTTGGCAATTCAAGATCAGTTAGTTTCCTCCGATGCTAATAGGAAATATTTTTATATATGTGGAGAAGATATAAGTGAAAAAAATGCAACTGAATCAATCAAGGATATATCATAGGTCCATTAAGCGTTGGCAAGTAAGGAATACCTGATGAAGCACAATACCTGATGAATACCAAGATTGTGCACCAAGCCCTGTCCTCATTATATAACATGATAATTGACCAGGTCCCTTATTATAGATATGTGCCCAAAGACGTACAATCTGGTGAAAATAGAACAATCTATCGTTCTATAATTACCGATCACATGACAGTAAATAATAAACCTGATATATTGACAGTTACGTTATTAAGAAAGGAGATGGTCATAAATCATCAGGCCACAGAACTGCAAAGTTATATATGATCCATTCACTTCAGTTCTAAGTGAAATTCCTAGCTGAACACACCTCCCTGAAGAAGACCTGCAAAGTTGGGCCGAAACGTTGGCTTTTAATAAAATAGTTTTGCCACTATATAGGCTATATATGACCGCCACCCCGTACCAAACCCTTCCTTAAACCAGATATAGCCTTTATCGACCAGAATACCAAAAGTGGTACTTTTCTCTTTACTCAGGAACTTCGGTAACTTTATACTTGGATCATATACAACTATTTCCGGTATTAATTTCCAGCAATAGCCTCATTCCAGACGATGTAAATCGGCTCTATTGAGAATTTAAAGCAGCCAGAAAAAGTATTAGAAGAAGGGTAGAGAGTAGTTCTCCTTGGCACACCGAATATCGTCAGAACATTTTTAAACATAGTCAGCATGTGAGCCTAACCCTTCACCGGCTAGGTGAATATTTCTGGAAAAAGTTAAGAAATGACGAAATTCTAAAATAATAATAATAAAAAAAATATATGTAATTTTATTTTATATCATTTAATTCACTGGCATTACTGAAAGGAACGCGTGGATATATGGAAAAAATATAAAAAAATAAGAAAGGATTAAACTTTCATCATAGATCTGGCTGGCACCATTTAGCGGGTGTTGAGTTCACCGAAAGCCGTTGTGTGAGCTGAATAAAGCCACCTTAGATTTAGGATAGACCCGCATCGTTAACCGACACGAGGATGACAACTTTAGGGACAGTTTGATAGCCACTCTAAGATTGATCACACTCTGCTCTCTGTGTGGTTCAAATTAGCCGGAGTGTTCTCGTAACGAGGGAGCGTTTAGGGAAAATTCCGACCATCATCTAACAACATTAGCCCAATCATCTAACAACAATAGTCCCTCCTCCTAATTCTATAGATGTAAGTAATTAGATCCAACTTTTAATAAAGTAATTAAGTATAGCTGGTGTATTAAATTATAACCCGTATCAGGTAAAATTTCCTTATGTTTGCCTTCTCATTATTTTAAATGAGTATCTTCGCATCTGAGATATACAGGATGACTTACCTCTTAACGGCCAATCTCTGAGAGGTGATTCTAAACAAAATTTTTAACAAAAAAGTTCATTTGATGCATGGAAAAGGTATTAAGACCAATTTTGTGAGGTTACGTATTTTATTTAATAAGAAGGAATCTTTCAAAAATTGTTCAAGATGATAAAATTATAAGCACACTATCGTATTTCCTGAATTATTTTATTTTCTATTGTTTTTATTCTTTTTATACATATATAAATAGAAAATAAAATAAATAAATAACTAATCTCCTATACTATAACTAATAACAAATAAATAAATAACTAAGAAATACATATATATATATATATATATATATATATATATATATATATATATATATATATACACATATATTTATATATTATTTAATTAATAAATTAAGACCATATTCCACCATAATTTTTTTTTTGTTTTTCATTCTATCTTGAAAACGTTTCAGCCAACACTTCGGCCATTTTCAAGTCTTAATTGAGTCCACCAACTAAATATCCATATTCAATATCACTTTCTTTAATCTGAGAACAACTGTCCTAATGCTTAAGAGTTTCTCCTTAGTCATCTATGGATATACTTCCGTCCTCAATTTATGACGAAGGGTAAACCCTAGAATATTAGGACAGTTTAATTTTTCTCAGATTAAAGGGAATGATATTGAATATGAGTATGTAGTTGGAGGACTCAATTAAGACTTGAAAATGGCCCTAGTGTTGCCGAAACGTTGTCAAGATAAAATAAAAAATAAACAAATTGTTGGTGAAATATGGTCTTAATTTATATAAATGAAAAAATATATATTATTTCCTATATTATTATGTATTGTTTATTTCCAAAATTAGTTTATTAATATATTTTTTTAGTTAATTTATTGTTTAACCTATCAGCCAAATATTTCAATAGTATTATTATGTTAAATCAACAAAACAATCAACCTACATCTGAGATCAGAGTTAACGAATATTCCGACAGAACTCCACAATTCTAACCAACTGTTAATTCTAATGAATAGTTTAAACATTTTATATTTTAAATTTTGTATATTTTTATGTATATAGGGTTCGGAAAAGTCATTTTTTTATTATATTATTCTTGATGATCGGGTATGTTAACGTCTTATCATCGTGAGTTATAATATTCCCCTACATTTGAGGAGTAAAAATTTACTTCTATTTATAGTGTAGTAGTATAATGACTATTATTTCATGATATCAGACCACTTCTTGCATTATATACGATTAACAACAGACTACCTATTCAACTCATTAAAGCTGTATAGAGAAAACTTCTTTTTTATTCTTGGAGAATATCTATGGAATTTTAAAATGAATTAGACTAAGGAAATCTCTGGTAGCTCATATTGGAAAATATACAATGTACCAAAAATATTGTGTTAAATGAAAGTAACTTTAAGGATAATTTATATTATAAGGTTTTAGATATAAGTACAATTTATTGTTTCAGAGTGTTTACAGTTTTTTAAAAGAAAAAGATACATCAAACGGAAGCATGGTGGATTAACCTGCGTAGGATAAACAAAGCAATGATCAGAGTGGACCATACGGTTCCCTAATCCATCAAGGGCCTCAGTGTATATATCACAAATACCTCATTCTCCGAGGATTGCTCCGAACATTCGCTCGATTGGCGGCTGGAGGTGATGAGATGGTTTAGCACCTTACAGAGCTCACTCAGCCAAAGTAATTGGTAGACCTCGTCTGGCGGTAATTGTGTCGTTGGGTTAATCGAGTCAGTTCGGCTCCTCTGAGTTGAGTTAATTAGTTCTTCCGAGGGAGCAAAGCCACAAAAATGTCGAGATTATACGCAATGTAACCAACAGTCGGGGAATCATCTCTTTAATGGACAACTGGAATTTACGAAACGAAAAATGCCTTTTTCCTCTATAATTAGTCGATGATTACTCCATACTTCAAAGAATTTGTCAACAGAAGAGCGAGGAGCCAAGTGGATAAGAACTGAGGTTGAAACTGCAGGGAGAAGTCTGCATATTTTAAAGAAAATGATTAGTTACATTAACATTCATAGCCAAGGTAATGTAGTATGCATCGTTAAGACCCGCGTTGCCGTAAGGCAGAGAAAAGGGATAAAATAAATAAAAAGTAAATAGGTTTACTTATTAAAGTAAAAAAAATAGTAAATTAAGGCTATTCAATTTACTAAGGTCAATGATAAAAGGAGCTTTCATTTAACAGAGAGATGTGCTGCTTATCTATAGATACTGTTTAGTGTTACCCAAATGCGAGACCGAGACGAGTCTTGGTCTTGCAAACTCAATCTTGGTCATGATCTTGGTCTCACGCAAGAATCTCGCAATAGTCTTGCATTTACTAATTAGCTTATTACTATAGAGATATTACTGTAATTTTTTAGATAGGAGAAACCCAACTAAGCCCTAATAAAAATTAGAGGAATTAAATGCAAAAGCATATTTACTATACCAATTATTAACCTATAGTAAGTAAGATTGTCAAGCATTAGTAAATATTTTGCCTTAATTTTTATTTAAAAAATCGATTTTGTTTACCAGTCCTGGTCTTGCAACAGTTAGGCGGCCTTGGTCTTGATCTTGCAAAG